CGTCTTCGGCAATCACTGGAGGAAGTGGCAGATGCCTCTAAGAGCCCGAGTCTTTTGAGAGAGTGTGGACTTCCTGAGAGTGCTCTGTTAGACATTCCAGAAAGAATGACAGAAAATAGATGGTCCTGGTCAGAAGTGAAGTATCTCTCCGACAGTCTTCTTCTTGCTCTTGATGCCAGCTTGGAACACGCACTCCTGGTAAGTTTGACAATGCCTGCATAACTTTGTTTGTTATAGGATATTTTGTGTAACATTAAATGATCTTGACTCTTTTGGGATAGAATTATACATATTTACCAGACTGGTTGGATCTTTATCCTTTGTAGCTGTTCATTTGGAAGTTCATTGTTAGATTTTAATACTGGCTGCAATTTGGTTTGCAGGGCTCTTTGATGACTATGGACAGATATGCAGCTGCAGAAAGCTTCTATAGACTGGCTATGGCATTTGCCCCTGTCCCAGATCTTCACATAATGTGGTTACTGCATTTATGTGATGCACATCAGGAAATGCAGTCTTGGGCAGAAGCTGCCCAGTGTGCTGTTGCTGTGGCTGGTATTGTAATGCAGGTAACAATGTTATGGTTTTTCACAATGCAAACCTGCATGAAGCATTTGTCTGTTCTCAAAATTCATGAGCTTTGAAGTGTCTCAGATGTTAGCACAGTCCTATTTGTGTTGTGACTGACCTTGCAAACTTCCAAACTCTACATGTGTCTTTGTTGGTTGTGAGTTGGACTAAGCAATCTAATTTTCTTTCTCTCCCCTCTCCATTTTGACATATTTTCTTGGTTTCTGTTACCTTCTTTTACATACTTTGTTCTTAAGTTGTAGTTCAAAAGATTGTCAAGGACTAAATGTGTTTAGGCTCTGACATTAGTAATTGCTAGATATTGGTTATTCTGAGTTAGGAGGAGCTGATGTAAAATTGAAATTACTTTCCGTGTATAGCTTGATGCATAATTATACCAGTCTTTTCTCTCTCTGCAGTATTTGAGATCTGGTTTCCTATTAGTTTTGTAAGATTTTTGTGGATTACTCTGCATAGTAGAGAATTAAAAAGATGGCTCCATAACTTTAAAACAGTTGCTCACTAGTTTACTTTCAGCTAATAGTATATTTTTATTCTTTATAGGCCCTTGTGGCAAGAAATGATGGTGTTTGGAGCAAAGATCACATAACTGCTCTACGTAAAATTTGTCCAATGGTCAGCAATGAGATCAGCTCTGAGACTTCTGCAGCTGAGGTAGAAGGATATGGGGCATCAAAACTTACTGTTGACTCTGCAGTGAAGTACCTACAACTCGCAAATAAGCTATTTTCTCAAGCTGAACTCTTTCATTTCTGTGCAAGCATTCTGGAACTCGTTATCCCAGTTTACAAAAGCAGGAGGGCATATGGACAGCTGAGTAAATGTCACACGATGCTTACTAATATCTATGAATCAATACTTGAGCAGGAATCAAGTCCAATTCCATTCACTGATGCAACCTACTACAGGGTTGGGTTTTACAGTGACCGATTTGGAAAGTTGGATAGAAAGGAATATGTATACAGGGAGGCCCGTGATGTAAGGCTAGGTGACATAATGGAGAAACTTAGTCATATATACGAGTCTAGGATGGATGGCAATCACACGTTACACATTATTCCAGATTCCAGGCAGGTAAAGGCAGATGATTTGCAGCCTGGTGTCTGCTACCTGCAGATAACTGCTGTTGATCCAGTCATGGAAGATGAAGATTTGGGAAGCAGAAGGGAGAGAATCTTTTCTCTTTCCACTGGTAGTGTTCGTGCACGAGTCTTTGATCGTTTCTTGTTTGATACCCCATTTACGAAAAATGGAAAGACTCAAGGTGGATTGGAAGACCAGTGGAAGAGGCGAACTGTTCTTCAGACTGAAGGTTCATTCCCAGCTCTTGTGAATAGGCTTTTAGTTACCAAATCGGAATCGCTTGAGTTCTCCCCAGTAGAAAATGCCATTGGGATGATTGAAACTCGGACAGCTGCCTTACGAAATGAACTTGAAGAGCCTCGCAGTTCCGAAGGGGATCAACTCCCACGTCTCCAGAGCCTACAGAGAATTCTTCAAGGCAGTGTTGCAGTTCAGGTTGAAGTTTGCTCTCAAACTCCGTTCTTCTGAAGCAAGTGTCTCAGTTGCTTTCTTCGTCATTCAAATTGTCTCTCTATATATAACTGATCAGATTTCTCTACTTTCTATTTGCAGGTTAACAGCGGGGTACTGAGTGTGTGCACTGCATTCCTGTCTGGTGAGCCTGCAACAAGGTTGCGGTCGCAGGAACTGCAGCAACTCATTGCCGCGCTCCTTGAATTTATGGCGGTATGCAAGCGTGCCATCCGTGTACACTTCAGATTGATTGGTGAGGAAGATCAGGAGTTCCACACACAGCTTGTGAATGGATTTCAATCTCTAACTGCCGAGTTGTCTCATTACATCCCTGCCATTCTGTCAGAGCTGTGACGTTGTAGAATTACTCTAGTGTTATTGTTTTGTTTCGTCTTTTCGTTTTTACTTTTTAGGTTTTTCTCCCTGTGCCGTTGCTGCAATGTGTCAATATCTTTCACGCTCATGGTTTTGTTCATATATCTGGCCTATGTCTCAGCAGCAAAGCATGAATCTCAACATTGTTTCATCTAACAGTTTTAATGAATGTTTTTTTTTAAAGTTTCTTTTTAAGCTCGTGTAGCTTTTATTTTTATAAATTTAGCTCCGGTTTACATCAAGTTGACATCCCCACTCAATTACATTTGGAAAGAAAAACATTGAAGAACTACACTCTTACCTTAGGAGTTCCAATTAAAAATTTCCTCTTGAAGTTTTGAAGGGTTTCAACTAAAGGGTTCCTCCATAAATACTAGAGCCATCTCTTCTTTGACCCAAAAAAAAAAAAAAAACTAAGCAAATCAATCGACAATTCTAGATAGCACTAAAATGTCTGTTGATTTAATGTTGATTTAATTATTTATTTTAAAAAGAGTAAAAGTCGTATTAGAATTTCCAAAAAGAACATCCCAATGTACAGCAAACAAAAATGGACAGGCCCAGGAGAGTGTTGAACAGAGAGATATAAAGTGTCAGCTTGTCGATGTGGGATTAGATAAGAGCAAATTCAGGACCAAGCGTCTGATTCTGAGGCAGGCTAACTTCTCCACTTCACAACCATCTTTTACTACAGAATTAAAGATTATGATTTTAATATGTTACTTTGCTTTGTGTATTTTGTTTTTTAATTTTTCTTTGCACAGATTGATGTCTTCAAAAGGGGGATGAAGTCACAATAACTGAGCATGACTAATTTTCGAGCAACCAAGGAGGGCCAAATTAAAGTGAACTTTAGTGGACTACATGAAAACATAAACAGACTGGGAAAGAAAACAAGGAAATAAATGCTCATGAGCAACTTGAAGGAATTAGAGGACAGAGGATGCACAATATTGCATGGGGTGGATGTGAACATCATCTCCTTCATAATATGCGTTTTGATCGTATAATCTATGATTTTCCTCACTCTGGATACTTGAATGGTTCCTCTTCTTCTGAAAGCAGCGTTTCGCAAAATTTGTAGGTTCAAACTAAACCACGTTTGCAACATTTAAAAAAAAGAAGAAGAAGTACAATGATGAATTGGATTGAAACAAAACCATGTATTTTCAGGTCACATCAAAATTTGGTAAAGGCATACTTCAAGAGTGCTCGAGAAATGCTGACCTGAACAGGAGAAGTTCATGTGACACACAAGACAGCTTTTCCTTTCAGTGAATGGAACTTAGTGAAGTTGGTACAAGAGGTTGGGCTATGTTTAGTCAATAAAGAGATTTTCTCGGTATGGGATTATCCAGGTTATCAGAATAAGAGAGGCGCTGGGATATGTGACCAGACTTTTCCTGTTGGAAAGTGCAGCACCTTCAAATTTTCCAAGCAGTTTCACCCTTCTACTGCTTCCAGTTTCCTCTTTCCAAGCAGTGTCATAGGTTAGAGATTTAAAATGTCATGTTTATTGCCTACTTAAAATCCTTTTCCTGTTGCCACATAAGTGTATTTGGCTCATCATACGTGCATACTGAGGACTAGCTGCCTCAGGTGTTTGAGGACTGATATATGTCAACTATATTTAACACTGTGATTTGGCAGGTAATGTGGCCTGGACTTCCCAAACATGGGAAAGCAATTGAATTCCCATTCCCAAGCCTCCTTTCCCATGAACCAAACGGCCCCTACATGCCTATGCACTGGAATGGCGATGGCAAGCGAACATGACCCTCGGATCGATCCTTTTGATTAGAAGAAGTGCATTGACGTCAATAGTTGCCCCCTTTACCACTTTAAACCTCTTTGCCATATATATATATATATCCTCCCCTGAGTTGTGACATAACCAAGGGAAGGGACTCCTGTATATATACTAACTGTTCAAGAATATGAAACTATAAGTAGTCAATTAGAGAATTTGGTAATGGAACAGAGAATGAGAGAATTTGGTCACCTGGGCCGGGATATAGACATATACCGTGTAGTTCCCTTCCACGTGATGAAAGTTCCTAACTCTGCTGGGCTGAGTGCTTGCTGAGAAGTCCATAAACACTTAGTCCACAACACGATCAAAAATTCAAAACCATACCAAAACAAGGCAAAAATATAGAAAATTGATTGCAATTAGTAGTTACCAACGGAATTGGGGCTGTTGAGCAGTGACCAAGGAAGTGGGGGCAGAGGAGAGCTCGATTCTTCAGAGCTGTTGAGCTCTGGTTGTGGATATATATATATATATATTTAAATAGTCTCGCCGTACGGCTATACTCTTTATATATATATATATATATATATATATATAGTTTTATTTGAGCTCCGGATGTATATATATATATATATTTTATTTAAAGGGTATGGCCGGCTATACGCTTTAAATATATTTTTTAATTTAACGAGTATAGCCGCCGGCTAAACTCATTAAATATATATATATTTATTTAAATGGTATAGCCGTACGGCTATACTCTTTAAATATATTTCTTTTATTTAAAAGGGTATAGCCGATCGGCTATACGTTTTAAATATATATATTTATTTAAAGAGTATAGCCGATCGGCTGTACGCCTTAAATATATTTGTTTCCTCTCTCCTATCGAACCCGGAACCCCAGCCAACACTCGCTCTCTCTTTGCTTTCCCATCGAACCCAGAACCGCAGCCAACCCAACCCTTCACAAGACACCCAAAAACTTCTCTTTCCCCTTGACCACCCACAAGACCCCCTCCTCCTGCTCCCACCCCCTCAGAACCTAGAGCCCAACCCACCCGCAACCCCAACCCCCCCCACAAAAGACGCAAAGTGTTCGAAATTTTTTGTTCTTTTCAAATTTTGAATTTGCAGAGAGAGAGAGAGAGGATCTAGTTTGAATGTGAATGAAGTATATCATATATACATCTTTGACATATTTTACTTTGTATTTTATACTACAGCTACAAGTATACAGGCAGGTCATCTAACAGTTTTAATGAATATTGTTTTAAGTTCTTTTGCCTTTTGCCTTTTCTTCTTTTATTTATTTTCGGGCCTTGACCTCATGTTCCGATCGAGTTTTCTATTTTTATTGGGTTTTTCCTCAAGTTGAATCTTTTTGACATCCCCACTCAATTGCATTGGGAAAGAAAAAACATTTAAGAACTACAATCTTACTTTAGGAGTTGCAATTAAGAATTTTCTTGAAGTTCATACTGTTTGAAGTCCCAAAGAGAAAAATAATAGTAAGTCAAGGAATTCTGAGAAAGTTGAAGAAGAAGAGAGAACCAAATCACAATGGAAGTGTTTAGCTTTGAGAGAAAGATTAAGCATTACAGCAGCTATCAGAAGATACTCTTAGTGGGAGAAGGAGACTTCTCTTTTGCTGTTTGCTTAGCCAGAGCTTTTGGATTGGCTATCAACATGGTTGCGACTTCTCTCGACTCCAGAGGTAACTTTTGAATCACCATTGAGTTGTGTCAACGTCCAAGTACGTCCACTTTTACTCATTATTTATGCCCAATTCCTTGGTTTTCAAGCAACCCCGTTTGAAATTTGAATAAAAACAACCAACTGGTTTTGTATTTGGTCCTAAAGTTTACATTTTGGTAATGACCCAAAGGAAATAATAGATAGAGGGGACCAAAGATGTTGTCTTTCAAATAGAAAAGCCTAGAAGGCTCCTGATTGAAATAGTTTGCATGCTGATTGTAGAGTCTTTGATGGTGAAAAGATAGATAGAGGGTTTCTGAATTCTGATTGAAATCCTTTGCATCTTAATTGTAGGGTCATTAATGGTTAAGTAATAGATAAAGGGGCCCGAAGATGCAATCTTTTATTTTATAAAAAAAAAATTAGAGGGTTCCTTATTGAATCCTTTGCGTGCTAATTGTAGAGTCTTTGATGCTGAAGTATTCAGAAGCTATGAGCAATGTGAAGGAATTAGAGGCCAAAGGATGCATAATATTGCATGAGGTGGATGTCCACAGCATGAGCCGGCACCCTTTGTTGATTAGTGTACGCTTTGATCGCATAATCTATAATTTTCCTCACGCCGGTTACTTGCATGGTCCCTTTTCTTCTGAACACAACAGGTTCCAAATTTGGTAAGTTAAAACAAAACCATATATGCATCCCCTTTAAAGATCATGGTATATGCTCTACAGTATTTTGCGTTCATAATGCGTTCCTTATTGAAGAACTGAAGCCATGTAGTTTTGAGCTTAACCAGAACACTAGCAAAAAAAATGTAAACAGAGGATTTTGAATTCTAAATGAAATTCATGCATTTTCAGGTTTCATCAGGATTTGATCAGGGGATTCCTCCAGAATGCACGTGAAATGCTGACCGCAATAGGAGAAATTCATGTGACACACAAGACAAAATTTCCTTTCAGTGAATGGAAAATAGTGGAGTTAGCACAAAAGGTTGGGTTATATCTGGTTCATGAAGAACAGTTCTCACTATGGGATTATCCAGGTTATGAAAATAAGAGAGGAGCTGGGACGTGTGATCAAACTTTTCCTGTTGGAATGTGTAGCACCTTCAAATTTGCTAAACTGTTGTGCCATTCTACCACTTCTGGTTTCCACCTTGGCATTACTACTTCGGGTCCATGGTCTGGATATTCTGGAATTAATGGTCCTCACATGCAACGGTAAGCCCCTGCATATGAACTTTGTTTTCTTTGATTTAAATTTTTTGTGATTTTTAATACTACAATGAGCAAGAAAGTGACTTGCGTGAGCCTAAATATTTTTCAGGGCCAATACACCGAATGAGAATGAGCTTATGTCTCTGTTAGAATTTAGGAGGTGTGATGTGTGTTGCTATGACACCATTGTTGGTTTATGTGGTGAAGGGGTTTAGGACAATAGACAATAGTTGAAACAAAGTGATTTTATTACATTGGAGGAGAATAGTACATAGCTTGGTGTAGGCTAATTGGCCTCCTTTATAGCTTATTAGCCACTACACTTGATTTAGATTAGTTTGGGCTATTTGGCCCTTCACTTAGATTGGTGAGCTTATTGGCTCTCAACATAGCTTTGTTTGGGTAGCTCTTGGCTCCATTAGTTTGGGAGTTGGCTTGTTTACTCCCACATAGATTGGGAGTTGGTGAATGACTCCACCTTGCTTTATTGCATTGCAAGCCTATTTATAGGCATTCTTTGCCGACATCACCAAGTCCACCGACTTGGTCTTTTTTACTCCAGCCACAAGTGTATGGCTTTTACTAGAAACTTCTATATTTTACAATATTTATTTTTGTGGATATTGTTTAGCCATCATGCGCCACCGCCATAGTCTAGCAACATGAGTGTTCTTGAGTTTTCTAGAATTGTGTAGTTACATCTACACAAATATGCATTGCTTTTCAACAGTTTCATTGAATCACTTACCAAGTTACCATAGCACATGACTGTACCCCTTTTTTACAGTGATGTTACAAGTACATTTGAATATAGCAAGGCTTATAGTTCAAGGGGCACAGAACTTTTCTCCTGTGCTTGCTTAACTTGTTGAAAGAAAATAAGAAATTTCCAAGTGCTCCAATTTCCCAGCCTCATGTGACTCCAGCCATATGGAAAACCTTAAACTTCCACCTTTATATCTTCAACATTACTTAGTTGAGTGCTCCAAAATATCTTACTCTTGTTTTTTTCTTGCAGGCCATTTTGCATATAAAGTGATATCTACTGCTGGTGAGGAATTGTATCAACAAATATCTTTTTTGTTTGATAGGCATGGGGTTTTTCATTCAAGCATGAGTCCCCTTGTTTCTATGCCTAAAACTTTTCCTGTTGGAAAGTGCACCTTCAAATTTTCCAAGCAGTTGTACCGTTCTACTGCTTCCAGTTTCCTCCTTCGAGTGCAGAGGTATTTAGATCAACATTGACATGCTTTGTTTACTCAAACTCGGAGTGTTCATTTTCCAAGCAGTAGTGCATGGTTGATGCTCTAGGCCACGTCATGCTTTGTTTTAGTGTATTTGAAGTTTGTGGTGAAAGAAATGAAGATTAAGCATCACAGCAGCTTTCAGAAGATACTCTTAGTGGGATAAGGAGACTTCTCTTTTGCACTTTGCTTAGCCAGACAATTTGGCTCTGCTAGGAACATTGTTGCAACTTCTCTTGACTCCAGAGGTATTTTGATAGACATTGAGATGTCTCAACATACATTACCATTGTTTGCATGTCAACTACTTTGTTTGGACTATCTGAATATAGCTAAATCTAGGGTGCATCTTCAACTAGAAATTAGGCCTATCAAGTTTTATATTCGCTATGAAATGTGCCAACGTTCATGGAAGTTCCGGAATGAATTGCACACACTTTCAGTTTCAAATGTTTGGTTTTAACTTTTAAACCATTCCATGTAATATGTAAGCGCAGTATTCAATTGAGTAATATGAAATCAATTCAGTAATAGAGATTTAAAATGTCATGTTTATTGCGTATTTAAAATCCTTTTCCTGTCGCCACATAAGTGTATTTGGCTCATCATACATACATATCGAGGACTAGCTGCTTCAGGTGTTTGAGGACTGATATATGTCAACTATATTTAACAGTGTGTGATTTGGCAGGTAATGTGCCCTACATGCCTTTGCACTGGAATGGCGATGGCAAGCGAACATGACCCTCGGATCGATCCCTTGATTAGAAGAAGTGCATTGCCGTCAATAGTTGCCCCCTTTACCACTTTAAACCTCTTTGCCAAACATATATCCTCCCCTGAATTGTGACATAACCAAGGGAAGGGACTTCTGTATATATTCGCGCATAGTGAATCAATTGGTTCCCTGATAATGATGGACTTTAAGCCTCTGTTTTTCCGTCTTATGAGGGCCTGGATCCTGCCATGAACAACATCCAATTTTGTGAATTCTTTTTATCCGAGTTATGAGTAAAATTGATGCAAAATCACTTGCTCCAATTAACCAATGCTAACCTTGTAAAATTCAGGAAGATTGTGAAGCTTATACACCTCATTGACAGCTTGAATCTGCTTTGTTATCTAAAATGATTGGAGTTGAAAAATCTCACATATATAGCTAAAAAACAAGCAAGCAAGATATTAATGTTTCAAAATCCCATGTTTTTGGCTAACTAGTTACAAGATTTTACATCTAAATAAAAAACTCAAAGCAACAAGACTTGTAAGTTGTATAAAGAGAAAGCTTGCAATCATACCTCAGCAAACCCGGCAGCAATAACTTCTATTGACACAAAGGTCCGGGTGTGATCATTGTTAACAAAAACCTCCCACTTGCTTCCAATACCCATACCTGGTTTACCGCAAATCAGCATTATGTTCAATAAAAGAAGTAAAATTCATGCACGCAATAGAATTATGTAAGTAACCATACCGCCTCTGAATCTGAAGCTTCTGCCGAAGCATTGTGACCAGGGAGTCAACCTGGTGCACTCGGATTGGTACAGTTGTTCCCAGACTTATATGGAACTCTCTACCCAACGCAACCCGTTCAAGCTTGTGCTCATCCTTGCGCAAAAACTTGAGAGGGACGTCAATGTCAACAGCATGGAGACGGGGCACCAGAGAAGCTAGCTTGTTAAAAAATAAGGCCATCTCTTTCCCTGGTGCTGGTGGTATATAAACTGCAAGTATACAATTAATCAAGGGTCTAAAGCCTCTAAAGGCTCTAAGCTCTCAAAGTCCTGGCATTTGTTAATGAAACTATATGTAGTCAATTAGAGAATTTGGTTACCTGGGCTGGGATAGACATGTTCCGCGTAGTTCCCTTCCAAGTGAGGAAAGTTCCTAACTCTTCTGGGTTGAGCGCTTAGTCGACAACACAATCGAAAATTCCAAACCATAACAAAACAAGGAGAAAATTGCGAGAGTATAGCCGCACGGCTGTACTATTTAAATATATTTGAATATTTAAAGAGTATAGTCAGACGGCTATACTGTTTAACTATATATTTTTATTTAACGAGTATCGCCGCGGTGCTATAGTCGTTAAATAAAAATATTTAAAGAGTATAGTCAGACGGCTATACTGTTTAACTATATTTTTTATATTTAAATGATCTAGC